ATAAAAGGTGCATTTTCTGCTCTTAAGGTCCCATTCACCAAGATACCTACTTCTTTACCCCCACTCTTGAATTTATACATTTACTTTAAGTCAAGTCCCGCCCCTTAATTTTTCACATTCTAAAACCTGTTTCACTCTGAAATATGTCACAATACATATATCAATTCGGCCATAACTTCTGTTACATGACTTTAAGTTTGCTAAGCAAAGCAGGACACTAATTATTAATAAAAAATAAAAAATGCAAGATGCAATAGAGGTTTGCTTTTGTTACATTTAAATGGACTGCGTTTTTGTAGTTGTAAAGGTTAAAACAATGTTAAGATACTAATAAATAATAGAGTTTCGTTGGACTCGGACTCGGCTGTTTGGGACTCGGACTTGAGTCTGACTCGGCCCATTTTGGACTCGGACTTGTCTCGGACTCGATTGGTTAAAGACTTGGACTCGACTTGGACTCGACTTAGGTGGACTCGAACCCAACACTAATCCTTCCGTTACCAAAGTTATCAGAGTTAAAAGGTATTCTCTTTTGTGTACATCCATTTTTGAAATGCAACAGAATTGTGTAAACCATCAGTAAGACCACATTAAAAGATTTGTTTATTCAAATCCAAACGCCCTCATTAATACGTTGCCCAGAATGCACACTTATGAAAATCGCAATGCTTCCAATTTGGATGCATTTACTGACACTATGGAATTTAATAGTAAGTTAAAGTCAGGCAGCAAGCCCTCTCTCTCCCTCTATATCTCTACCATATCCTTGTTATAGTAACTAATGGAGCGATATTACATTATGCAGGCCGTTTGTGGTTGGCTGGCTGACTGGTCTGTTGACCACCAGTACAGTCTCATTTAAGATTCACGCGATGAGATCACGTCTCGGCCGAGGCATCCCATCAACAATGAGGCATTATCCAGACAGTACAAAGCCCAAACATGATCAATGCCACAAATATGCTCAATCGTACCATAATTTCTTCTCAATCCTTATAAAATACCCATGTGACATATGCTAAAGATGAATGATGACATTATACTGTACTATAAAAATTGAGGACTGTAAGCAGTACAAGTACATTTGAGACATAATATGTCAGTTTAACCTGCTCTTAATGACAGTAAAGACTTAAATCGTGTTAACGGATATCTTGATATTTGAGATAAAATTCACCGTGACTGTGCATGACTAGCTCTGAGACAAGCACATGAACCTGTGGTTTCCTGTCTGTTGTAGTATCCCTTATAGGCACGCATATTTTAATGAACATTTACACAAGCACATTTTGAAAGTTATCTATTTTCCACCGGTAACTGATTTTGAAACCACTGACAGTTAAAAAAAAAAAAGATATAAAGAAAAAATTGGGCAATGAAAGGCTACATCAGAATATCACAACAGTGACCTCTTGTGTCTGCAAGGAAAATTCTATGATAATACTGCCATTTATAAATTAATAAATATATAAATGTTTTATATTTCTTTTGAACATGCGTTTATGTTGATACATATTAAGCATTTTTATCTTCAGACTTTGTAAAAAAAAAATGTATAGGTTAAATATAAATGTTTTAAAAAACCATCTAGGTTTTTGTAATTTCTAACCAGTCATTTATGCTCTCAATCTGCTCTGTATGAACATTTATTTGTTTGTGATTGATAGGATACTGCAAAATGATGTATCCAGTGCAAGAGGATCAAAACCAGGTATATTGCTATATTTATATATCTGCACTTGAAACCGCTAACCGACGCGTGATAAACAAGGCAAAGGTCTGACAATCTTGCTAGTAGCCGCAAAGATCTGATCGGATTGGAAATCTAAACCACTTTTGCTGCTGCAGTTTCTCAAGGTTCTTTGTCCAGATGCCAGTTGATAGCCGTTTGATCTGTTGTTTACGCAACCCACTGCTTCCTGCAGCTCGTCCACAATGCAAATGCTCACAGAGACATTTGAACAGAAGAGACACTAATGAAAAAGCATGTGGGTGTGAAGCTCTGACCTTTTCATGCTATGCTGAACATCCTGTATTACATTCATATGCTTTAAGAACTGCTCGAGTTAACTTTTCTGAATTTCCCTACCGGGATCAATCAAGTACATCTGTCTGTCTGTTTATATATTTGTCTGTCTGTCTGACACCCACTCCATGTCATTCTGCTGTAGAAGTCAAGCTTGGGCATGGAGACACAGGAGATGACAACATGGATGAATCTGTGTTCTGGAACACTAAAGTTCTTCCTGTCCTTCATGAATTTGAGTCTTTTGCACCAGGTGATGATTAAATTGCTCTTATGAATGTGCTTAATATGCACCAGTAATGGTCTGATGACCTTGAAGAGTAAAGGGTCACATTTTGTTTTGCTGGACATCATCAGACCAACAATATGTTTGCATAGAATTGGTCAATTCAAAATGAACATATATTAAAAACAATGATTTTGCTTTTTGATTTAAAGGTGCTAAGATGCTTTTTCCACTTTTTCAACTTTAGTTAGTCTGTAATGTTGCTGTTTGAGCATAAAAAAGATCTGCAAAGTTACAAAGCTTATGTCCACTCCAAAAGGAGATATTTTATTTAACAGAAATCACTTTTCAAAAACTACAACGAACGACTCGTTTGGACTACAACGCATATTTTCCGGGATTTGTGATATCACAAATACCGACGAATGGGACGAGACCTGGTTGAGCTGCACTAGAGAAGGCAACGAGTGTTATCACTATGTCGGAGACATGCTAGCTTTTCCAAGGCTGACAAACTTAGAGTGGTTACAATCATCCGGGTTTAAATCGCGCTCAAATTGGTTTGATTTTGACACAATATTTACACTGAAGCTCACAGAATGCGGCTATGGTAAGGGGCATGACATTTCCCGACCAGGCGCCGAGTGCTGCCAATCACAACACACACTGGCCCACTGGCCCAGCTAACCAATCACAGCACATTTCGTATTTCGGAAGGCGGGCCTTCATTTGATACAGGAACTATTCGAGCCGTTCATGCCAGACTGGGGAGAGAGGTGTTGTAATAATGTAAAATATGTGAAAAATAATGTGTTTTTCGAACAACCTAGAATGAGAGCCTGTTCTAGTACACCCCCAAAGCAAAATCAAAACTTTGTAAAAGAGCATAATAGGACCCCTTTAACGCTAAGGCTTTGTTTAGGGTCAAAAACTGATTTCAAACCTGAGCTCCAAAAACATATTTAATGGTTTATTTCAGGTTGATACCTGATGACTTTTCATTATCTTTTGTGAACATAGTTTTAGCATAACCCTCCATGAAAAATGTTACATTACTTCTGTTTGGGCTCTGAAGAAATATGAATATAATGCAATGTTGCTAAGATTTTCTGCAGCACACTCTTACAGTCTTCTTTATTATTTATGGAATCTTTGTAAATGATTTAAGAGAAATAACACAGTATGCAAAGATACAAATAGTCAATCCCCCCAAAAAACATGAGGGTTTTATTTTCCATTCACCCTGTTACAGTTTCTTCATGGTCCAAAAACATCTTATTTGAGTGGTTTCTTATTTTTTGCTATTACTAACATTAGCTTTAGAAAGATAGCCGCAGTTGTGGGGTTATTGGATTGTGCTTATGCAAGTTCATACTAAAGAGCTGCACTTTAGCACTTGAATGTGTCCCAGAGTGAAAGCAAATCTGCAGGGAGAAAGAAAAACACAATATCTGAATGCAGAGGAATAAAAACAAAGCTTATGTTGAGCTTGGCACAGTATAGACTAGAGCTTTGAAAGTCAAAGCACGTGGGGAAAAAGAACAGTGAAATGCAATCTAATAGCAGTAAATATTTAAGCACTTTGAAAATTCTATCGAAATTCATTTAAAAGATAAATATCAAATTTTTATTGTGCCAAGAGCCTCTCCGTTCATGCATGAAATACCATTCGTATTTTCCATGGCATCATCAGAGGGTGCCGTTGGGGAGAATGCCAACCATCTTGGAAACAGATTTGAGAAACATTTGTTTTAGCAAAAATAGCTTTGGAAAATGCAGCCTGTGACTTATCCCCTAAAGACAAGTTAGATCCAGCAAGAATAAGGCATTGCCAGTCCACACAATGGTTAAAAAGCATGTAGAGATGGATAATTATTCCGCAAGCAACAGCTAGTCTAAGATGCAATGACGAAAAAAGATTATTTATCAATTTTAATTGAGCCCAGGGGATTTTTAGAGATATTGATACTCTATTGAAGTCTAATCTAACTTAAAACTTAGTGACGTACCATGTTGTTGTGCTCAGAGCCGGTACATTTGGAAAGACAGTAAAGAGTTATTATATACAGTACGCACTAATGATGCATACCATACAGGGGGGGAATTTGCCCTGAAGGGCCATGTTAACTATGTCAGTGGGTGTTGACGTGGGCCAAATGTCAGTGAAATGTCAGTAAGCCTACTCTGTGTACACATCAGTTCAGCTGAATGAAAGAGGCTGTGTACCCCACAGACTACTATTCTTTTACTGTCCTTCACAGGGACAGTTGAAGGATGACAATGCTGCAATTAATACTGTGTGAGACATTCGGTTTAAAATGTGACCTTGACACTGTTACCTATTTTGTGCACTGGAACATACAGTATACTGATCAGGTTTTGTCTTTTTCAAAAACAACCCTTATAGGTGATGCCGTATCAGATGAGATTGTGGGAGAGCTGTGTAATGCATGCAATGGTCTCCATGATGCGCTGGCAGAGAGAGGCATGCTGGGAAGGCAGTTTAAAAAGAGGTCCGCCATCCTTAGAACACTCTTCAGGCTTATAGACGTGGGATCGGATCGACTTGACCTAACATTAGCCAAACTTATTCTGGCAGTGAGTATATAGACACACACACACACACACACACACACACACACACACAATATGTCTTGTATTAGGTTAAAAATCTGGGTACTTATTCTAATCGATTCAATAAAATTCACCTATAAAAAAATATTTAAAAAAATATAAAAATTTGGTAACCTTTAACAATAATACTTCTCGCACATTACAAAAATAAAAACAATTTTTACAACTGTATTTACCAGCTATTTTTAAACTGAAAATTATTGTTGCAGTATTTTAACTTTTTTTTTTTTTACATTTTTAAAAACATTTTAAGATTTTAAACAGAAGTGTGGAAAAGCACTTCTGTGTGCTTTACTGACAAAGTACATCAAAAAAGTTATTTTTTAGAGTGTGTGCAGCTGCATTTAACAATGAAATGTGTCAAACTTCACCGCAAACATAATTGCACATTCAATAATACCAATTTTGTTTGCACATTCCACAACACTTACTCATGCTGACATTTTGCAAGCATGTTCATGACCCTAAATGAGAAAAAGTCACAACATTTCAAGAAAAACATTATAGTATTTTTGAAAACCCAAAAATTGAAATGGGCCAACTACATGATCATTTACAAGGTCTGATCTTAAACAACCTCTACTTTGTAAGATAAGAGGAGCCTACTAGTATACGTAAAGTTTGAAATCAAGCAGTAGCCTTATTGCTTTTGTCTGTATTACAAGCTCAATGTGAGTGGAAACAACTTGCTGAACATCTGCAAACTCGTCTTCAAAATCAGCCGGAACGCTAGTAATGACGCCCTGTTCCTCAACGACAGCATCCTAGGTTAGACCTGATTATTGCATAACTCACCCAGTTACTAAACTCAGTCAGTTATTATCTCCAGCATCAGCCCACTGTGTGTATGTGTGTCCACTGTCCACACACAGACTCCCTTCTGTCTCTGTCTCTGCTCCATTGTGAGGATGTGTGGAGTAAAGGTGAAGCCGTGCTGTACTGTGTCGGCTCACTGAAGCTCCTCTCAGGGAACAGCGCCCTCTCCAGGCTGCTGCTTTCTAAAGGCTTCATCGGTGTACTGCTGCAGCTGTCAAAGAGACTGATGCATGGTCCATCTTCAACTTCAGCTAACATAACTTCTCACAGGTCAGAGGGAGAAGGTCAGCGTATCATTGCAGGACACACACTGGTACAGGTGGGTAATCGTTGATGGCTGCTTAGATTAGGCAGGAGTCAAGGTCAAAGTTGCTATATTGTTAGCTGTAACCCTGTTTTCAGTATGGCAATCATTATCGCAAATACACATATACCCAGATACCCTAAAGCAAAGGAAATCACAGACAAACCTTTACAAATCTTAAAGGGATTGTTTATCTAAAAATGGCCTGTTTGGCTTGCTTGCCTCTGTGGAACACAAAAACAGATATTTTAAAGAACGATTTTGGTTACCAGTGTATGGAAAAAGAAACGCTTCTAAAAATGTCTTCTTTTATGTTCCACAGATGAAAGAAAGTCATTCAGGTTTGCAACAAAATAAAGGTGGATAAATTGTGACAGAATATTCATTTTTGGTTGAACTATCCCTTTAAATCGCAGAAAGGACTTTTCTGTGATGTATTATCATCTTTTTTTCTTTGTTGTCTCAAAACAAAAGATCCCATCGTGCATATATCCACAGTGACCGAGGTTATGTGCTTCCCCTATGTGCTGGAACAGTGCTTTGTGCAACACACACACCACCATAGATAAACAAATAGGTTTGCATTGCAAACACTGTAAATCTGTGTCTTGAAGACTTTAAAACAGGAGGAATTCAGCATGCTTGAACCCCACCCGGACGTTTCTCAGAACTCTGCTCTGGGAGCGAAACGGAACAAAATATGAGCGTTTCATAAGGGTGGGGTTGCATGGGGTCGAATGAAAGGGCGGATTTTAATGTGCTTTTCCTCTGCTTTTGTTTTTGCTTTTGTCTGGGAGGATACCCTTTTCCCACTTCTCTGTGTCCATATTTGACTTCATATTCCTCCAGCACAAAGTACGTCTCACAGGAATGATTTAACTCTGCCCAAACAAACTTCCTGAAATCGGCACGCATGGTTTGATGTTCAGCGCCAATTGCCGTGCCACTCATTAATCTGTTGGCAGACGGAAATTAGGATTTTTATAAAAGTACGGCCCGATGGGTCAAGCAGCTCTAGCAGGCACCCTCCATGTACCCTAATCAGTGTCTTGTGCTCTTGATGGATAGATTTATGAGGCCACTTTAAAGACCTTCTGTTATTTCTTCTTGATTATAAGTGCTTCCTTTTTTATATGCATCTCTACCCATTAGGCAGTAGTACAAACATATGCACACCTGCAGCACAGTCCCTCATTCACGCTCAATCGCCAAACACACATACTCGTACATTTCTTGTGTGTATGTGTGTGTTTTTCTCAAACACACAGTTGCTCACAGTCTTGACCTCTTGGCCCTATCTAGGTCACAGCAGCTTTGAGAAATATAGCTGACCAGTCAGAGTCTCGGCCTTCCTTCCTGTCCAATAAAGCATTCTCTACTCTTTGCTTAATTCTGGAGAACCACCGCAAAGACCTTGACATCTGCATTAATGTGGCCCGAATATTCAGGTGAGTCTGTCTGTCAGTTGTCATTGTGATATGTGTGTGCATTCAAATGAAGTTAGTGTTTAGAATAGCGATTCTAAACCTTCTTAACTCCAAGGCCAATATGTTTTCTAGTGGATTTTTAAAATACTTTTTACCTAATATATGAATTTTATAGAGCTTGACATAGCTATAAAAACGTATATTCATTCTAAAAATGCTGATGGAGTTATAAGATTTATTAATTGACATTACTTTTCCAGGCCTAGAAATCACATTTGGATAAGTACCTCATATAAATTTTTCTTAGACTGTGGAAGTTAAAATAATTAAATGAAATTGAAATTTTTTATCAAATCTAAGGATAAATAAATGCAAGATAAATATGTAAGTGTAAATATGTAAAAATATGTATAAATATAAATTTTGTTTTAAATACAACAATACAAAGAATTCAAATGGCTTTACTTTTGTTACATTAAAGTATTCCATTTATAAAATATCCTACATCAATATCATATATAAATAATTTGGTTTTTATAAATGAAACACCGTATGTGTATGTCTCATCACTTCATTTACGGATTAAAAACAGTTAAAAAAAAACATTTGAGTTCAAATTAGAAATATCTTGATTTTTAGTAATTTTAATGTTTTATTACAAATCATTTGAAGTCATCCGGAGTTCCCCTTAGCAGTTTTCTTAGGCCCTGTAATTGGCCCCGGCCCCCTGAATGAGAACCACTGATTAAAAGTTTTGTAATGCATGCTGTAAAATGCATTTTAAATATCCGCCAACTGAGGTAAGTTCTCATTTTAGTTTGAGGAATTTAGCTTTTTGATTAATGTTGATAAAGTTGTACCATGTGATGTGTGTGAATATGCTTGTGTGTTCGGTCTTCAGCAAGCTGTCCACCTACACTGAATGCTGTCATGCACTAGCTGAGACGCCACGTTGCTGCGGCCTATTTTTGGACCTGCTAAGCAAACACAGCAGGAAACAGGTGAATTTGGCCCAAGTATATGTACACTGTCCACACACACTCAAGACATATGCTCAAACAAGCATACACACACATGTAAGCATATAGGCTGCATGTTCCGCTTTCTGCTCTTAAGTGAAACTTGAGCAGTGGTCTATGAAGGTGTGTGTGTTTTTCTGTTCATTTTATTTCGGTACAGACAGTTCAGATGTTCTTCTCTCTCTTTCCTTCTGGCACTAAGAGTAATGAGATCATGTGCTCCCAAACTCATAAAGAATAAACACAGTTCACTGTGTACTAGGTATCATAAACACAGTTCCACATACACCCTGTGCCTCACATAGGGACATACTGTCATCTGGCAGAGGTCTCTCTCTGCACCCCACTTTTTCATACATTCTAAAAGAAAACAAAGGAGTTCTTGAAAATCAGTTTAAACCATCTGACAAAATAAAGTTAACCAAAGACTGCTAGATTCACAGGAGTTTCAAGTGATTTTTGCATGGGTTTAGTGAACCATGAAATTGCTAAACATCAGGCCTGTAAATCTTTAATCCTGATTTATCTCATAATTTTTTTAGAGTTAACATTACATTTCTTTTAGTAAATAATAGGTCTGTGTGTAATTATTAGTATTTGTTTGTGTGCAGTATATTTAATGTAAATGTATGCAACTTGTGCTTTATGGAGAAAAAAAACAGTTTACATAGATATGCATGCTGCTGATCTGCAGTCCTAGTGTTTGCATGGTTATTTAAATATAAGCATAGAAATACATATATAGTATGCTATGGAGTGTTACGTTTTTGAAAAAGAAAAAAGTTTTACAAATAAAGTACTTAAAATATATATATATATAAGTATAAAATATAAACTAAATAATATAAATATAAAAATAAGTATAAAAACTTTAGTAGTAGTATTATATATCAGGACAAACAACTATCACTAAAAAAACAGCTGTGGATCTTTCAGGTAACAACACAGTATTACGAATCAAGTGTATGTAAACTTGAATGGGGTCATTTTTATAAAGTCAACTATTATTTTCTCTTGTGGACTTTTATGTGAAATATCTTATTCAGGTCAGTACTAAATAAACAATAACATGCATTTTGTATGATCCCTCTTATTTTGGTAAAATAATTAACATTTTGCAGATTCTGCAAAGTATAAACTTTGGACTTCAACTGTGTGTGTGTGTGTGTATATATACAGTATATATATGTATGTATATATATATATATATATACACACACACAC